CCTAGAGCAGATTAAAAATCCCTCCTATAAGCTTTAACCAGTGCTCTGCTATACCCTGATAGAAGTCACCGGACTGCTCTAACTGCTGATGATAAAAGGTATACAGTATATATTTATATATATATTTATATTTACTAAAATAATTGCATTTCCATGTTCTCTGTACTGTGGGAGACCAAATATAGTGACTGCAGGGTCCTGGGAGACCAGATATAGTGAATGCAGGGTCTGGGGAGACCAGATATAGTGAATGCAGGGTCCGGGGAGTCCAGATATAGTGAATGTAGGATCCTGGGAGACCACATATAGTGAATGCAGGGTCCTGTGAAACCAGATATAGTGAATGCAGGGTCCGGGGAGACCAGATATAGTGAATGCAGGGTCCTGGGAGACTTGATATAGTGAATGCAGGGTCCTGGGAGACTAGATATAGTGAATGCAGGGTCTGGGGAGACCATATATAGTGAATGCAGGGTCCGGGGAGACCAGATAGAGTAAATGCAGGGTCTGGGGAGATCAGAAATAGTGAATGCAGGGTCTGGGGAGATCAGAAATTGTGAATGCAGGGTCCGGAGAGATCAGATATAGTGAATGCAAGGTCTGGGGAGAGCAGATATAGTGACTGCAGGGTCTGGGGAGACCAGATATAGTGAATGCAGTGTCCTGGGAGACCAGATATAGTGAATGTAGGGTCCTGAGTGAGACCAGATAGAGTGAATGCAGGGTCCTGGGAGACCAGATATAGTGAATGCAGGGTCTGGGAAGACCAGATATAGTGAATGCAGGGTCCTGGGAGACCAGATATAGTGAATGCAGGGTCCTGGGAGACCAGATAGAGTGAATGCAGGGTCCGGGGAGACCAGATATAGTGAATGTAGGGTACGGGGAGACCAGATATAGTGAATGCAGTGTCCTGGGAGTACCAGATATAGTGAATGTAGGGTCCTGGGAGACCAGATATAGTGAATGCAGGGTCTGGGGAGACCAGATATAGTGAATGCAGTGTCCTGGGAAACCAGATATAGTGAATGCAGGGTCTGGGGAGACCAGATATAGTGAATGCAGGGTCTGGGGAGACCAGATATAGTGAAAGGGTCCTGCAGGGTCCTGGGAGACCAGATATAGTGAATGCAGGGTCCGGGGAGACCAGATATAGTGAATGCAGGGTCCTGGGAGACCAGATATAGTGAATGTAGGGTCCTGGGAGACCAGATAGAGTGAATGCAGGGTCTGGGATATAGAGAGGGTCTGGGGAGATCAGATATAGTGAATGCAGGGTCCTGGGAGACCAGATATAGTGAATGCAGGGTCCCAAGGAGACCCAGATATAGTGAGGGTCCTGGGAGATGAGGGTCCAGGGAGACCAGATATAGTGAATGTAGGGTCCTGGGAGACCAGATAGAGTGAATGCAGGGTCTGGGGAGATCAGATATAGTGAATGCAGGGTCCCTGGGAGACCAGATATAGTGAATGCAGGGTCGGGGAGACCAGATATAGTGAATGCAGGGTCTGGGGAGACCAGATATAGTGAATGCAGGGTCTGGGGAGACCAGATATAGTGAATGCAGGGTCTGGGGAGACCAGATATAGTGAATGCAGGGTCCTGGGAGACCAGATATAGTGAATGCAGGGTTCGGGGAGACCAGATATAGTGAATGCAGGGTCCAGGGAGACCAGATATAGTGAATGCAGGGTTCGGGGTTTAGTAACACTTTAAATCGGTGGCGGCTAGTAACTTCAATGACTTTCAAGCAAATGTAAGTACAATGTACAAGCAATTACGATGCCAGATAAATGAAGAAGTTTTATATACTCCTATGTGTCGGAAGCTCTTTTTTCCATACAGTAAAGATAATTTGTATTTCAGCTTTACTTGAGCAAATAAAATAGTTATGAATAAAATAACAATTACTGCTCAACGTTTCCATTCTTCACACTTATGGGACAGTTTAATGCTTAATGTTTTTTTTTCCCCCACCAATGAAATATTTACACTTAAGTTGCACAAACCTTTTGTCTGTGACGACGACTATAGTCTGGAGCGCCGCTCTTTGAACACACGGGTGATCGGTAAATATGGAATAAATCCACAAATATCTAACCAAATGTATTTGTCAGGACAAACTAGAGAGATGTGCGATCTGCCTTGTGGTGGAAGCAAACATTTCCACTGAGGTCAGGAACGCATGGGATCTTTTCAGCAGTCACGTGACTGAATCTATAGCGGCTAGTTGTTACTAGCATCCTACCGTGTGTGATCAAGTAGATCTAATCCCTGAGGGCTCATTCACACTAATGGCTGAGAGGCAGTAAAACCCTGTGGCTGAGCCACGTTTTTAACAACATCACTCCTCCTTTAGCTACAGAGGCAGTGGCTGGGGGTGTACACATTCAGCAGGCAAGATGCTTTGCTTCGTGGCAGGAGTTATACCCCCTGTTGCTTTCAATGGGCGAAGCGTCCACTGAACGCATCTCATTCAAGTGAATGAGGTCACTCTGCAAGCACCTTGCAACTGCGGTTTTGGCACACAAGTGCAGGGTTCAAGGAATAAAGCTGGCGATATAATGCCTCTTCACTGCCTGTCAAATGCTCTCTGAAGAGTGATCTGAACACAGATTGCTCTTCAGAGACTAAAGCTAGTCCTAAAGAATGAAAGTTAGCTTACAATTGCAACATTTTTTTTCAGTTTTGTATTTTTTTTTTGCATCTCAGCACGGCTGATCTTCTGCAGCCTCTTTATAGCCACTACCTGTCTACATGCACTCACTCCAGCTTCCTGATAGTGACAATGGTGGATCATTGCACCTGTAGTCACCAGCAGTGCATGTGACAGGGTGACAACCCAGGAGCATAATAGGAAGCAGTTAACACCCTATAGCAGAACGGTCTGAAAAAGGACCTTCATGGCAGGATCACCAGTTATCCTTTTAGAGAAAGTATCAGATGGCAGACTTTGTAGGCTCTGTGTAACACATATATGTGGATGTGCATTGTGTAGGGGTGGTGCAACACTGTTTATTTTTTTTCAACTTTATTGAAATGTCACAAAATGACATTGTATTCAGCTGGCGTTGCGGTGCACTGTGGTGTGTTGACATGTAGTGACATGTCTTGCGCTGTATAAAAATGCTATATTTTAGTTAACGCATCATTATGGTGTGAAGAGGGTACATACTGTAGATAAGAATTTAATTTCTGTGTGCCTTTGCACTGAGTCTGCGTTCATCAATTTTGGTTAATGCAGGCTTGTTCACATCAGGTACATCGAGCTGCATTATTCAGCATACATGTAGCCAATGCATCAAAACCACACATTGTATGTGTTTAGATGCACTGCTCTTACCTTCTATGGTCCCCGAATGCACTAAGTTGCACAAAAAGAATATCTTCCTCTCTAGCTCACTCATCACCTCCTCCCACGCTCGCCTCCAGGACTTCTCCAGAGCCTCTCCCATCCTCTGGAACTCCCTACCACAGTATGTCCGGTCAGCCCCCACCCTGTCTGCCTTTAGGCGGTCTTTGAAAACTCACTTATTCAGGGAAGCCTACCCCACCTCCACCTAAGATCTGTACTTGAATCACCTCCACCAGATCATCCCCCACAGCTATTACCTTTTGTATCACCTCCCCCTTCCTTTAGATTGTAAGCTCCACGAGCCAGGCCCTCCTATTCCTTCTGTACTGAAAGTATTGTAATTGTACCGTCTCCCTTATATTGTAAAGCGCTGCGCAAACTAAATGTAAAAACGTGATTCTTGTGAGCTACTATGGTGTGTTTTCTGCGTTCATGTCTTTGTAAAGTGAGTGAATGAAATAAAATAAATAAAAATTAAAATAAATAAATAAAAATAAATATAAAAAACACCATTATGAATTGCGTGCTGAAAAAATACTTGTGCGTGTGATATAAGAAAATATTTAAATAAATGAATAAATGAAAATCAATTAAGTTGGTCGCCTACACCATACTCATACATGTGTGTCACTATAATCAAAAACTGCGCAAACTGTTGGCGCTATATAAATCCTGTATTATAATAATAATAATAATAATAATAATTATATTTTTCAAAGCACACTGCACTGCAGCGCTGGAATGGGAAGAGGCATTATTTTTATTATGGGGCAGATGGACAAATGCGTTTTAGTACATTGCAATGCGTGTGTTAAAACACAGCAGCGTAAAAGGCATTTTAAAGCACGCATTTCAATCTATTAAAGCGCATGGGTCCAACCTCCCCATAATAAAAATAGTTGGCAACAGGTATTAACAAGCTGTGGTCAATGACCGTAAGCCTATCCACTCCAAATTCCAAAAACATATGAAAAACACGCATCCAAACGCATGTCAACCCCCAAACTAAACACACTTGGATGCATTACACTGCAGCATCCTAACACTACAAAGAAACGCACCTTTGCGTACAGGCAAAGATTTGAATGGGAGTGTTTGTGAGTCTGTGTAGAAGTAATATTGGAGCTGCGGCCAGCCAACAGGCTCCGTCAGTGCTGTGTCTAAACGCCAAGCCTCTCTTATCTGTATTAAGGCTGCTTTCTGACGACACCCCTCTCTCCAACGTTTCATGTTGGCTCCAGGCTGCTGAAAGAGTTGTCATGGCCTGGTGCCACTAGTACATGTCTGTGCCCCCTCCCGCGGGCTCCTCTCTCCCCCTCAATCCCTTTCAGGTAGTGGAATTTGCTGACATGGGCAGTGCACAGTGGCTTGTCAGCTCGAATCCTGGGTGTGGCAATAAGCAGACAGATAGCCCTGGTACATAACTGTTCTCAGGAAAGGTGCCTACACAAAGGACACAGTCAGCTGGATTTTAATTTAACCCGTGCAACACATGGACGCCGTTATTTATCAAACGGCCAGCTGCCAGAAACACTCCAAGTCTACAAAAACAACATCAAAACTATTTTATCAACCAGTGATCTACTTGTAGTTTTTGAAGGTCACATGTTGGTTTAGATCAGTGTTTCTTAACCTTTTTTCAGTCAAGACACCTTTTAAACCTATTGACAGTCCCAAGGCACCCTTTAAAATTATGGACAGTCTTGAGGCACCCCATTCTAAAATAGGGTGCCTCTAGTCTAAACTGTCCATAATTTTCTATTTCAATGGTTTTTATTAATCTTTTTAAACAAGATAAAGCAGAGGCAATAAAACACGCCCACGCAGGGGCTATCAATTGCATAGATAAAAAAAATGTTAAATAAAAAAAAGGAAAAACAGTGCTCTAACGCCAACAGGGCAAAAGGTACGCCAGCGCAGGGGCTATCAATGGCACATAAGTTGGAAAACATTAATGTAACTGCCTATAACAACTAAATGCAGCTGTCCAGTCACACCAAAAACAGAGAGAGAGAGAAAAAAGGAAGAAAGAGGAAAGAAAAGAAAAAAAAAAAAAAAGGGGGGGGGGGGCAAAGAGCAGGGGTCCAAGAGCGCCAATACCGAACGCCATTACATCCCCAGACTAGCCGGGGGGAGTGAGGGAAAGGCATATTGCAACCACGGCTCCCATATTTTCAAAAATTTACGTTGGGAGTCGTTGCAGATACTTGACATCTCTTCGTTGAGCATCATAGTGGTCATACGATCCTGCACCCCCCAAAGAGGGACAAACAGACTCTTCCAGGCCTGAGCAATTGTTCTAGTGGCCGATAAAAACAGATAGGAAGCCAACTTCTGCTGGTGAGCCAAGAGGCCCGGTATGGCAAAGAATACCGAGCATCCCGGCGTATGGAGAGATGGAACAAGGTGAAAAGGAGTCCAAACACACGAGACCAAAAACGAAACAGTCTCGGGCATGACCACCAGATATGCAATACATCTCCATGATGGCCACAACCCCGAAAAACATTGATCACTACAGGCAGGGTTAGCCCGGGCCAACCGAGCTGGAACCTAGTGACTGTCCATAATTTTAAAAGGGCACCCCATCCTAAATTGTGAAAAACTATTCTACTAGTATTATATAACGCAGCAAAATCCACACAGGTAGGACACCCAACACTAGAGGTGATTTATTCTTCCAAAGCAAATACACTTTGCACACTGGTACTGACTAGTATTCCATTGTTTCTCTTCTCCCTCAGTTTTTTTCCATCACTGAGCTAATGTGACCCCAGGACTGATGGACAGGGGCAGGGGAGGGTCAAACTAGGATGCTGTGCAGGCAGCTGACATCCTCATTATCAACTGATGATGTCATTGGTTGTCAGGATGCCGGCGGCTAGAAGGTTGTAATGGTGCACAATGAAAACCTGTGGCTTTGTGTAACTAAAAGGCAGGCTTGTTCCACCCGCTGGTTTGTATACAAGTTTTGGGCAATTGTTTTGACATTTTGCAAAGGCACCGCTGAAGAAACCTTAAGGCACCCCAAGGTTTTCTGGTTTAGATGAAAGACTGGTTTAGATGAAAGACTTTTATTAGCAGGCATACATGATTAATATGATGCGTGAGAAGTAAACTTCAGGTAAAATAGTGGAGTGTGCTATGTTCCACATACAGATCATTTCCTGTTCAATAATCTTTCTTAAACATTGTGTTGAAATGGTAGACTTTTCTTTTTGGATTGTCCAAGGCCCTCTAAAGCTGGCCGTAGATGAATTGTATTTTTTTGATCAGCCAAAACAAATGGATTCCTCCATCCACACAAGATGAATCCTTTCCACTGAGACACTGCGGTTGATTTACCAAAGGCAAATAGACTGTGCACTTTGCAAGAGCAGTTGCTCCAGAGCTTAGTGAATACACAGAAGTTCTCTTCACTTCCATCATCCAGTCATATGCTAGCAAAAATATTGTTTTTTTTAATTTTCCTTCTATGTGATTGGGTATTCTTTGAAAGTAAATCTTTAACTCATTTACTAAGCTCTGGCGCAACTGCATTTTGCAAAAGTGCACCTTTTAGTTGCTTTTAGTAAATCAACTCCATTGCATTCTGACAGCAGGTACACTGATCAGTGGCTGCAGCTGCTGATCAAGAAAATTTTTCTTATGAACCCGTTAAACAGAAGTTGATCATTAGATCGACTTCTTTCACGTGAGAGTGACCACACATAGATCAAAATGTAGCTGGTCCATGCTGAGCCAACCAAATTTCAATCCATTATAATGGTCAGCTTTACTGCTTGGGGCCTTCTGTCAATCCATACATTTATAATTGGAAAAAGCAAAAATAATACAAATGTATTTCCACTCTTATCAGAATAAATAACTACAATGATCTAATCATTGTTTTGCCATCAATGAAAAGGTTTTATGAGTCTCTTTTAACCTAAATGGCAGCAAGCATAGAGCAGTAATGGTCCCTTTCAAATGAGCATTCTGACAGTCAGATCTTGGCCCATGATCAAAAAGAAATGGCAACATATCCCTATGAATTGTCAGATGTAACGGGCATGCATTCACCTATATCCGCCCAGGTTCACCGGAGAAAACACAATATATTTGTGTCCAGGTCTACTTTTACTGACCTGACCAAATATAGGTAGAGGCACAACCATTTACATCCCACCACCCATAGGGATTACATGAATTTATTTTTCCTTCATCACAAGATGGAGGAAAAATCAGAATGGGCACAGATGTTACATATGTGACATTCATTTCTATTCTGGTCTAGGATCCTCTGCTGAGATGGAATACCATGAGAGAGCATCCACGTGGAAGGGGCCTTGGATAAAAGTTAAATAGTATGTTTCTTGTGCAGGATAGGCAAGATTGTATACACTCTACATAAAGTTACATTGTAATTTAATAAAAAAGTGCACAAAAAAAAATCAAGGTGCCAAAAAATTGAGTTTGATAGGAACAAATTTAGGTCCATAAGGAACAGAGGGGCAATCTGACAACTGTCAATAAGAATTTCCCTTTACTTAAGAGAGATCTCCTATGTCCTGTTGTGTCTTCAGGTGGGAAGTGAAGAAAGTTCTCCCCAATGGTACAAGGTACAAAAACCTGGCAAGGGTTTTAACCCATCTCTACTTTATCCAAAACTAAAACAAGTTTTGTGATAGCATCCAACCATATCTGTCTTAATCAAAATCGTTATGCTTGCCTTGTCTTGGACGGTGCCCATCCATTATGGCAATATCAGTAATGGATAAGAAGAAAGATCTGCCCTATGGGACACTGCAAAAAACATGCCAAGGGTTCTAACCCAACTCTACTTTATCCAAAACTAAGGTTTTGGTTTTAGAGATACTTTAACATGCAACTATGTTCATGTTCATCAAAATCATTTTGCTTTATTAACACGTAGGTAGAAAATTGAAGATGGAAACTTTAGTTCCAAACTGTCCAAACTACAAATTTTTTTCTTTTTTTTTTTGCGTTGAGTACGTGAAAGTCTGATAACACCTTTATCTCATGGAGCAGAATTATACTGTGCACCATGATAACACCAAGCTGCACAACATTTCACACTCACATACTTATCAATGCCATGTGTTTGTATAGACCTGAGCACTTATCTAAATCCCTGAGCTGAAAGTACAGGACCTCCGGTGGAAGATATGAGAAGGCTGTTTGGAAGGGGTCTAGGTGATAATGCTTGCCAGGGTATATGGCTAAGCTGGCTCTCTGTGCACAGAGGTGACATTCTTCCCTTAGCTCAGGAGGGGCCTACCTTCCTGATAACATGCAGCACTGATGAGGTGCAAGCTTTGTTTACAGTGACTGTAAAACAGGCCTGGCTGTCTGATTTTTATCAGCTTCAGTCACCTAAAAGCAATTAGAAGAGCAAAAGTGAGAATCTAAACAGCTTATCTACTCATTGTGTGGAGCTATTACACCTATAATCACTACATTAGGGCAGGAATTCACTTTCTAGACAGCAAACATGGTCATGTATTTCAAAGCAGTCAAAAAGTTCAACCCTGAAATGCTGTTAGCAGAGCATACGTATTTATGGCCCGAGTAGAAAAACCCAACTTTTGTTTTACCCCAGAATAGAAGAGTATTGATCAGGAGAAAAAAAGCCACCTTTAACAATCAAACCTTAAGCCGGCCATAGATGATTTGAATCTCTCAGCAGGGACTGGCCAAGATTTGAACCATCTATGGGCAGGCTGATTGTACCCAAGTCGATCCATCGATTAACTTGGGTACAATTAGAATGTCAGATATTTACATGCGATTATTGACAGCCACTCCCCGCAACCCCTCCATCCCCAGTGGGAGAACACAATAGCTCTGTGGGAGGGATTTCCCCATCAACACTGACTGAAATCTGCGATTTTCCTCCTGCAACCACGAATTCGGAAATCTCATTGTCTATGGCCTGCTGTATAGAAGACTCCCCATAGACATAAGCAGGGGCGGACTGACAACTCATGGGGACCCCGGGCAATAGGGGATCATGGGGCCCCTGTGTCCTTGCCCAAACTCAAAAAAGCCTATGAAAAAGGTACCAGGGGCATCTCATGGGGCTCCCTCCTGACCCCGGGCCCTCGGGCAGTGCCCGAGTTTCCAAATGGTCAGTCCGCCACTGGACATAAGATTTTATCCATCCATAAATGATTGGTATTCATGGTTATTTTTATGTCTGGACTTGAGATGATTATTTTATAACCCAACAGGTAGGTCTTGGGGTGACATCAAACTACAACTCTCAACCCTATTGCACATTTAGGTGTATGACTATTGATAAAAAATGCTAAATGTCTAGGCAAATGACTCAAAAGAAAAGCTTCATATATATTAAGGAATTTTACAAAAACTGTCACCTGGTATACAGGTACCTTGCATAAGTGACTCCATTGGTAGGTGCCCATCCATTATGGCGATATAAGTTTTGGACAGGTGTTCAGCTAATGATAGAAAGGCCTAAATGTCTATGTAGGTAAACAACTCCAAGGAAAAGCTTCAGAAACGATAAGGTGGCATTTTACAAAAACTGTCACTCATATATGGATACCTTGGATAGGTGATGCCATTGGTTGATGCCCATCCACTATGGAAATATGGAATTTGAATAGGGGTACAACTAACAATAAAAAAAGCCTAAATGACAACTCAAAAGAAAAGCTTCAGAAACATTACAGTGACATTTTACATAAATATATATGGGTACC